GGGATTGAGGGGTCTACCGTGGTCCACTCTTGAAAGCTCAGTCGATAGTCTTTATTCAGTCTCTCTCCCTCTTGTCCTCTCCCTGAGATCCTTTCCACCCTTCCTAATCTTCCCCCCTCTTGCCCCCGGAGCCAGTTTTTACAGAAGTCCTGTAGTTTTTGTTCAATTTCTTGTTGTGTATGTGTGTATTGGATCTGGGCCTTAACCATTTTCCAGTGGGCTGTTATCTCTGTCTGGATTTGTTGCTGTATGCTTTCAGTGAATTCGGCCCCTTCCAACCTCACTCCTTCCATCTCATATGTACACCGGCGTTTCCATAGTGCCCATAGCATCGCCCTGCATCCCATTTTAAACATATTTTGGGTGAAGACGTCCTCTGGTTCTGCATTCCATGTTTCTAGTAACAGCGCTTGCCAATTCCTTGGCCAGGGCTTCGTTACTTCCAGTTGATCCCAGATCCTGTCCCACCAGCGCCAAAGCAGGACCGCTCCTGGGCACTGCAGGAAGATATGTTCTATGGTTTCCGGCCTTTTTCGGGATGGAAAGGAGCGTACACAAAGTTTACACCAAGGCAAGGCCCGCCCACTTTGTTCCAGGGATGTCCTATCTAGTAGCCAGTCGTTTGTTGGCAGACACCGGTGTTCGATCTGCCATTGGAGTGAGGCCAGCTTGGCTGGCTTGAGTAGTGTGTGGGCTCCTTGTGTTTCTGTTTCGACTTTGAGAAAAATATACACAGCTTCTAAAAAAAAAGAAGATATAATTTGCAAAATACCCCCATAAGCTCAGATATATGCCAAAATGCCCCTAAAAGATGTGCGTAGTGAGGAATACCCCTTTGACAAAAGATATATATTTGTGAAATGCCCCTAGCATCGGTCTAACCACCATCTTTGCAATATACCCCTACTGGGCACTGTCCAACTTTGCAAAATGCCCCAGTACTTGCCAACTCTTTTGAGGCGCTATAATTGCCGAAGGCCAAAGCCCAAACGGGGAGGTCCAGGATGCAAAGTTGCACACCCGCCTGACCGGGGCACAACACAAAGATTTCGGCCCAAAAGGGCATTCTGCTCTACTCACATCTTTCAGGGGCATTTTTGCATATATCTCAACTTATAGGGGTATGGGGCGCAGCGCTACCGGGAGCGCTGCGCCCCGGCATCAGCCACGGCGGAGTTCTAAGCTGGAGCGCGATATCGGGGCGATGGCAGGAGGTGGTGATCTTCCAGCCGGCAGTTCCAGCGTGTAGCGCACGCGCAGGGCCTCGAGGCGCTGGTCTAGGCCACGCCACTGGCTGACGTGGAGGATAGACCGACCCCCGACGGTAACTCGGGAGTTTCCCATTTTGCCCCATCGCCGCTGCGGTTCTGCGTGTGGCATAGGGCCAGGAGGCGTTGGGTTAATCCGCGCCTGTGGAGCACAGCGGAGTCAGCCCTTGGGACTTGAAGTGCGCGTGGGTTGTCATCCTCTTCAATGACATCGTCTGGCATCGTTGCACTGGAGATGCTTGGAATCATCATCATCATCATCAATAGGGCGTGTTTCGACAGCGTCATCATGGTAAGTGTTTCATCATCATCACCAGGAGGCCGCTCGTCATCATCATAGTTATCATCATTATCAACAGGGCGTGCTTCGACATCATCACCGGGTGAGGGTTTCGTCATCATCATCAAGATGCTGCTTGTCATCACCGTCATCATCGTCAGGGTACAACTCTTCCTCATCACCAAGGTAGATTTCGTCACTACTATCAGCAACAAGGTAAGTTGGTGTAGTTCGTCATTATCATCATCTTTTGTGTTAGCATCATCAACAGTGCTACCATCATTAATAGTCTACTATCCTATGGCGCTATTGGCGTTGTTCATCATCATCATCATCATTTTTCACGTTAGCATTATTAGCAGTGCTATCATCATCAATAGTTTACTATCTTAGGGCGCTATTGGCGTTGTTCATCCTTATCAGTATCCTCATCAGTTCATCATCTTAGGTGCGAGTTAGCACCATCATCATCCTTTCTCATTATCATCACCATCATCACCATCATCATCATCATCATCATTACCATCATCATCATCATCACCATATCATCCTTATCATCATCATCATCATTATCACCATCGTTATCTTTACCATCTGAAGTCGATTCTTGTCATCAGTCATCATCGTCATCATCATCACCATCGACATCAATTTCCTTCATCGTTATCTCTACCAACTAAAGTTGATTTTCGTCATCAGTATTATCATCCGCTGGGAGCCTTTTTTTGGGGAGCCTTACTCTACAGGGGCGCTGCAAGGTGGGAGGTGGCTGCCCTGTCGGGGGTGGGGCAGATTTGTGGATTGTCCTTGTCTGGGGCCGGGGTGGGAGAGTTGGTCGCCTTCAAGCCCGACGGGGGCAGATAGGGACAAAGGGGAGGGCGAAGGCAACCTCTAGGCGGGAATTGGCTGTCTTGGCAGAGGGGGGAGGGAGGGGATTTGTTCCAGGTTGGGGCCGAGGTGAATCTCCTCGACGGAGGCAGTGTGGGACAGGGGTGGTGGCATAGGGGAAATTTTTTCTCTGCGAAGTGACTGCATGTCACATTCAGCTTCCCGGGGTTCTGAGAGTTAGAGCAGCATCTGACTTTCTTCTTTGTTAGGATCTTCGATCTCAGGGATGATTACACCTGGACTGACATCGGTATGGTTGCTCTGTTCTATGCTCTTAACTTGCCGATGCTAGAACGACGCTGGCCGGAGCTGGGGCCTTACCCTGTAACCTGCTACGGCAGGAGCGTGAGGCCTTGTAGAGAGATCTGGGGTTTGTCGAGGGAGGAAGGCAATCCAGTGCTGAATTGGGGGGGCCGCCTTGACACCCTCTGGGGTCGGGGATAGTCTTGGTGGCGAGAAGAGGTCAGCTATGGTTGATGTTGTTTGGTTGATACTGTCTTTGAGTAGTAGCGTCCTGGTACAGGGAGGGTTAGGAGTTGGTCTCGGATTACGAAGCCAGAGTTGCTGATATATCCACATACTTTAGATCCAATAAAAGCTTTTTCAGAATTTTTTAAAAACTCAAAACAAGCCTTATGGTGCTTCACAATTTTAGGCGGCACCCTGTTTTCTACCTCACTACGGATATAGGAATTCAGAGATCGTCAAACCTGGGCTGATAACTGCTGTGCTGCTCTGTTCTATGCGCGTGGATCGCCGACGCCAGAACGACACTGGCCGGAGCTAGGGCGTAGCCCTGTAACCTGCAATTGGGCAGGAGTGGGAGGCCTTGTAGAGAGATCTGGGGTTAGCTGAGGGAGGAAAGCAAACCAGTGGCGAACCAAGGGGGCTGCCTCGACAACCTATGGGGTGGGGTTAGTCTAGGTGGTGAGAAAAGATCAGCTATGGTAGTCGTTGGTTAGGTTGGTCTTTTCCCTGAGTTGGAATATCATGGTAAGGGAGAGCTAGGAGTTGTTCTAGGATTAGGAAACCTATGGGGTGGGGTTAGTCTAGGTGGTGAGAAGAGATCAGCTATGGTAGTCGTTGGTTAGGTTGGTCTTGTCCCTGAGTTGGAATATCATGGTAAGGGAGAGCTAGGAGTTGTTCTAGGATTAGGAGGCCAGAATGGCTAAAATTAAAGATAGTACAATTCTATTTTTTTCATCGCCATCATTTCCATCATACGCATTTTCCTTCATTCATATGAACCAATCAATGCCATGGTGTATTTCAGGGACGCTGGAGGTGTAGGTGGGACCAGACAGACCTCTGTACCTCGAATGCTGCGCCCATGAATTTCCCAGAAATCCGCACGAATCTGTCAGCCGGGGTGCTTTGACACATATGATCAGCCCTTCATTCCTGGTTGACAGGGACAGTGGGTGGGGTATGTGTTGACTGACAGTGGGGTATGTGTGCGTGAATATATATTGCGATGTATACATCATAGAACCAAGTGACGAATTCGGGCTACATACATCTAAGTGGGAAGTATATTAAATTATTAATCTGGATGTAAGTAGTAGCCCCAATTCGTCACGTGGTTCTTGCAGTGTCGTCGTGTCTGATTGTGATGTATGTAGCCTCAGCTCTGTTTTGTCGTTCTTGTTGGAAGCACACGGACGACAAAACGGCAAAGAAAAAGACAATTCATGTATGCCGTCATGTATGTAGCCCGAGTTCTTGACGTCGTGCTAGCCTCAACGCTGTTCCCAGCTTCTTACTAGTGAGGATGACCGCTACCCAATACCCAATACGCGATGGTGATTGCTGAAGGTTGGTAGAACTTCACTGACTCTCATCTGGTCTGCCTCAACGTCGATGTTCCCAGGACCTCGCACAGCACTTCCATGGGCCACCACCACCGTCTTTGTGTTGTCATTCCATGTGAGTACTTGACACTCGTATGCTAACACACACTGACACGCACACACGCACTGACACGCACACACACACTGACACACACTGAGACACACACACACACACACACACACACACACACACACACACACACACACACACACACACAGCTCTTCATAGACAGCCCAGTCCGTTCAGATGTACTCAGATGCACAGCTGCAGCCTGCAGGTATCGTTACCCAAAACAGGCCTCCACGGGCAAGAGCGCACGGTTGTGGCCAAAACAAAAAATCAAGGTAGTGCATTTTAATTTATGTTTTACTTTTTATATCGTCCTTCCCCAGGGGCCATGGTAATCTTCTCTGTATCGCTCCAATTTGACCAGATGCATGGAAGGAGGGCAGTGCATTTTCCCATTTTGTAGCGGAATGTGCATGGCTCCTTGGCAGCAAATCGTGAACATTTTGTCCAGGCCGCCCAATGACCCACATGAATACAACCGTCCTCACTACGACGCGTATTCATACGGTGGTTGTGGTGTGCATGTCAGGCCACTGTCAGTTTGGGTACATCTTGGGCTTATCAAGTACTTAATACCTATGTTCCTAGCTGCCAGAGCTGACCTTATTTTGGTCAGAAAAGAAAGAGATGTTCAACATACAGGACCCCAGGTAACTCAGAATTTTCTGGTCATCTACTCTGATTGTATCTGGATTCGAACTTGGGTCGGCATTTCAACAGTTTGCTGATGGTGCTACTTGCTATGGATCTTAAACATAAACACAAAATGGTTAACCAGCACTGAATCCAAAAACAGAAAAGAATAGACCGAAAACCCAAAAAAAAGCGGAAAGGAGCAAGGCACGAAATGGCCAATTCGAAAGCAGTTGGTGAAAAACTTGAGACTCGCAAAATGAGCAGACACCCCTAGCAACACCGCGCGTAATTCCTACGTAAGCTCATAGATATTGAACAAAACAAAGAAAAAATCCAAAAATCCCGAGGAAAAAAAAAAAAAAGAAACTTGCGAAATCCGTGAAGAGTCTCCGAAGGAAAGCTCGGCACTTTGAAAAGTGTATCATGTGACATGTCTATATAAATTGGGATGTCAACTCCACTTCCATTAAGCACGGCGAGTTCTTGGTGCGCTTCCTTCCTGTTAGTTCTTGACACGGCCAGTGGCTCGACGAGCTGCGCACTTCTGTATCTTCTCCTTCGCGTGAGCAGTGGCAGAACTCCAAGGGTGCGCTCTCTCTCTCTCTCTCTCTCTCTCTCTCTGAGCCCGCTGTGTCTCTGTGCGTTTCTCAGTCTGTTCCATCTCTCTCTCTCTCTCTCTCTCTCTCTCTCTCTCTCTCTCTCTCTCTCTCTCTCTCTCTCT